TGTGGCCCCAGAAAAGCCTCAGGACCCCAGTAAAATTCCGGGACCCTGAAAAAGCCTCGGGACCCCAGTAAAGCTCCGGGACCCCAATAAAGCTCCAGGACCCCAGTAAAACCCCGGGACCCCAGAACCCCAGGATTCCAATAAAGCCCAGGACCCCCCAAAAAAACCGGGAGCCCAATAAAGCCCTGGGACCCCAAATAAAGCCCTGGATGGTGCTGGCCCTGCTGTTGTGTGACCCCAGGACCCCAAAAAAGCCCTGGGACCCCAAAAAAAGCTCTGGGATGGTGCTGGCCCTGCTCTTGTGTTCCCCAATAAAGCCCTGAGACCCCAATAAAGCCCCGGGATGGTGCTGGCCGTGCTGTTGTGTGACCCCGGCACCTGAATAAAGCCCCGGGACCCCAAAAAAGCTCCAGGACACCAAAAAATACCTGGGACAGTGCTGGTCATGCTGTTCTGGGGACCCCAAGAAAGCCCCAGGACCCCAAGAAAACCCGGGACGGTGCTGACCGTGCTGCTGTGGGATCCTGGGACCCCAGTAAAGCCCCGGGACCCCAGTAAAGCTGTAGGACCACCAATCAAGCCCCGATGCCGTGCTGGCCGTGCTCCTGTGGGACCCTGGGACCCCAATAAAGCCTCAGGACCCCAAGAAAACTCTGAGACGGTGCTGACTGTGCTGCTATGGGACCCCAATAAAGCCCCGGGACCCCAATAAAGCCCCGGTGCCATGCTGGCTGTGCTCCTGTGGGATCCTGGGAGCCCCAATAAAACCCTGGCACCCCAATAAAGCCTCAGGGCCCCAAGGAAGCCCCGGGACCCCAATAAAGCCCCAGGACACCAAAAAAGCCCTGGGACCCCAGAAAAGCTTCAGGACCCCAACAAAGCCCCGGGACGGTGCTGCCAGTGCTGTTGTGGGACCCTGGGACCCAAATAAAACCCTGGGACCCCAGTAAAGCCTCAGGACCCCAAGAAAGCTCCGGGACCCCAAGAAAGTCCCGGTGTCATGCTGGCCATGCTGTTGTGGGACCCTGGGACCCCCAAAAAGCCCCAGGACCCCAATAAAGCCTCGGGACACTGCCGGGCTGGGGGGCTCAGGGGGCTGCGGGAGCCTCGGGCGCTGCTGGAAACCACCCGGAGGAATCCCTTGGTTCTCCCGGGGAAATCGCTGAGCTCTCGGCGGTGTGAGGGGAGAATTTGGGGGTTCTGCGAAGGGCAGGGTGTCCACGCGGGTTCCGGGAACCCCCCACAGGCGCTGCTGTCCCTCGCCGAGCTCTCTGGAACTGGGATGCGGGAGCGGGGCCGTGGCCCAGCCGCATTCCCGGCTCAGGTGTGGTTCACCCCGGGAGCTGCAGGAGCCTCATCCCGTCCCGCTGGCCGCGCTCCCGGCAAGGAGGAGAGGGGTTTGTAGGGTGGGGTGGGCAACGCAGCCTTTAAATTGTGGTGGGGGGGCTCTGTCTGGGGAGGGGACCCCCGTTTCTGCTCTCTGACCCCCTGCGCAGGAACCTGCCCTGGCAGCCTGCAGCTCCTCCAGCCAAAGGACTTTGGGATTTTAATTAGCAGCTGTGTATCCTCTGCAGAAAGGAGCAGTTGGGAGGACTCGGGTTAATTAGCAGGAGCAGCTAATTAGCTGTTTCCTGAGCAGCAAAGGCTGGTGGGAGCAGAGTGGGAAGCTGCCAGCACTCGTTTGGCACACGGGTGGTTTGGAGGGGGGGGTGACATTGCCCTGGATTTGGTGGGGTCAGGACCACAGCACGAGGCCAGCAGTGCTCTGGGGGCTACTAACAGCCTTCTGTGGGCTACTCGGGGTCATCAGGGGCTACTCACAGCCAGCCAAGGGCTCCTCATGATCATTCAAAGGGGCTACATGAATGTTGCTCGTGGTCATGCAAGGGCTGCCCATGGCTCTACAGGCTGCTCGTGAAAGTCCAGCCCCATCCTGGGCTACCTGTGGCCATCAGGGGCTACTGACAGCCAGCCAGGAGCTCCTCGTGGCCATCCAGGGGTTACTTGTGGCCATCAGGGGCTACTGACAGTCCTCTGTGAGCTACTCAGGACCGTCAGGGGCTACTTGTGGTCATCTAGGGGCTACTCCCAGCCATCTCTGAGCTACCCATGCGTGGGTAACTCCTCATGGCAATCCAGAGCCTCTACTCATGGTCTTCAATGGGCTACTTATGGTCATCCAGGGGCTACTTATGGTCATCCAGGGGCTACTCAGGGCGATCCAGAGCCTCAAGTCACGGCCATCAGGAGCTCCTCCCAGCCCTGTGTGGCAGCTCCTCCCTGCGTGGAAGCACCTGGGAGCTGCCTCCAGCCTGGCACCAGGGGCCACGTCACAGCCGCTGCCGGCACGGGCCAGCCGGAGCGACCGGTTGGCAGCTGAGGTGTGGCAGTGGAGAAAGCTGCCCTTTCCCCAGGCTCTGGGAGCTTTTTCCTGAGGTTGGGGGGCTCCTCCCTGCTGGGCCAAATCCTGGGAGCAGCCAGAGCAGGCATGGGGAGCCCCGGCTCCACAGGGGCAAGACGGAGCACGCCAGGAGCTCGTCCTCCTTCCCTTGGCACCACGCTCAGCTCTGGCCCTTGAGATGGATTTTTCCAGGCTGTGTGTGAGGCGTGCACGAGCAGCAGAGGCACAGCACAGCTCCTGCCAGCATCCTTCATCCCAGCGGTGTCTGGCTGGGGCGTGGGATGAGGCTCCTCAGTCCTGGGGGGTCCTGCATGGGGTGGGGGTCTCTCCCTGCCAGGCTCTGGGGTCTGCTGTGTGATTTGGCCCCTCCTATCCCTCCACTGAGGCACTGGCACAATATCTTCATTCCAGATCGCTGTTAATTGGTTAATTGACAGAGCATCGATGCTTGATCCAGGCCTGCTCGATCCACGGGGGTTTAGCAAGGATTCCATTGATTCCCACGCTCTGCCATGGTGGCTGCAGGTCAATCCCACAGATTTTTACCCCCACACTGTGATGGGAGGCTCCTGTAGCTCAGGGGGGTCAGAGCAGCGCTGGCTTCCCTGGGGTCTTCTCATGGGGGAGTGTGAGATGAGGCTCCTCAGTCCTGGGGGGTCCTGCATGGGGTGGGGGTCTCTCCCTGCCAGGCTCTGGGGTCTGCTGTGTGATTTGGCCCCTCCCATCCCTCCACTGAGGCACTGGCACAATATCTTCATTCCAGATCACTGTTAATTGGTTAATTGACAGAGCTTGATCCAGGCCTGCTCAATCCACGGGGGTTTAGCAAGGATTCCATCGATTCCCACGTCCTGCCATGGTGGCTGCAGATCAATTCCACAGATTTTTACCCCCACACTGTGATGGGAGGCTCCTGTAGCTCAGGGGGCTCCGAGCAGACCCCCAGCAGCACTGGCTTCCCTGGGGTCCCCTCGTGGCCCCAACACCAGGGCTGATGCCCACCAAGAGTTTGCCAGAGCCCAGGGTGTGCCAGGACGAGCCCTCCCCACAAGTAGCCCCTTTATGGCCATAAGGAGCCCCCCTGGCTGGCCACAAAAGCTCCCAAAGCTGCTGTAGGGCCAAGAGCTCTCTGCAGCATCCTCAGCAGCAGGAGGGAGGTACAAGAAGCAGGCACTGGGAAGTCTCTGATTTATTAAAAGGCACTTGAATCCATACAAAAGTGACACCTGGAGCCCTGGAAGCCACTCGAAAGCCCTGCCCTTCAAAATCCTGGTGCCACGGGCACGGAAAACTCCCACCCTGGGGTTTGAGGGGCTTACGGCACCCCCAAAGGATTCGCTGAGAGCTCCAGGGCCTTCGCTGAAGGATGCAGGGCTGGAGGCAGGAGGTCCTTGCTGATGTCCCACTGGGAGTGGCCAAGGTGGCACCTGGGGCCAGCCCAGGCCAGAGTTGGGGGGCTCCTGGGGACCCCTCAGGCAGGCAGGGGGCTGTAGGGCTTGCCCTGCTCCGGCCTGTACCGCCGGAAGAGCCAGAACCGCACGAGGCTGGTGACGATCCCCGGCACGTTGGGGACCTGCGGGGGGACACGGGGGGACCGTGGATGTACCCCTCCCCTCCACGGTGCTGGGGGAGGCTTATTGGCCCCATCCCAGCTAATTAATTAAAATCTATAGTCATCATGCTGGGCCTTGTCACCCTTGGCTGGGTGACACGCGGTGCTGAACGGGGCCGGCGCCGAGCCAAGCGCTCGGCTGAGCCACGAGAGGGGAATGGGGTGGGATGGGATGGGAGAAGAGGGGATGGGATGGGAATGAGGTGGGGATGGGGATGGGGAAGGATAGGACAGGCTGGGATGGGATAAAATGGGATGGGATGGCAGTGAGGTGGGGAAGGGGAAGAATAGGATAGGCTGGGATGGGATAAAATGGGATGGGATGGCAGTGGGGTGGGGATGGGGAAGGATAGGAGAGGTTGGGATGGGATGGCAATGGGGTGAGAATGGGATAGGACAGGATGGGATAGGAGTGGAATGGGGATGGAGTGGGGTGAGATGGGAATGGGATGGGGTGGGAATGGGATAGGATAGGATGGGATAGGAGTGGAATGAGGATGGAGTGGTGTGAGATGGGAATGGGATGGGTTGAAATGGGGCAGGAGGGGGACAGAACAGAATGGGATGGAGAAGGGTGGAACACAGATAGAGCAGGCCAGAGTGGGATGGGATGGGGATGGGGCTGCAATGGAGTAGGACAGGTGGGGATGTGAGATGGGATAGAATGACACCCCCGGCATCCCGCCAGCCCAACCCACTGTGATGTAGGGATCATGGAGCTGCAGGCCATAGAGTGTCCAGCTGCTGGAGGCCACAAGGGTGGTGACGGTCAGGGGAAAGGACAGGCACCGCGTCGACTTGCTCCGGACAACCTTGGCCTGCGGGAGCAAACGTCAGGCAGGGCCCGGGCTGGCAAGCCCCAGCTCTGCCAAGCCCCACACACCAGGTCAGCCAGCGGTGAGAGGTACATGCTGATGGTGAAGACGCTGCAGAAGAGCCCCAGGTGTGTCAGGCGCGTCCCCGTGTCAACCAGGATGCTGAAGTAGCCGCAGCCAGTGACCACCACAGCCAGGAGCAGCAGGACCTGCAGCAGCACGGGGCGCTGGGGGGGACAGCAGGGGGACAATCAGGGTGAGGCTCCCCCATCCTCCCCATGGCCCCAGGGCCCTGCCCCACCTTGACAGGGCTGTAGTAGAGATACACCAGGATGTAGAGGGTCTGCAGAGCTGCCCCGATGGCGTTGACGGTGATCACCGTCCCGTCCCCCTTCAGGCAGCCGTAGCCCAGCCAGCTCAGGTTGCTGCAGGGACGTGGCACAGGCACTCGGCTGCAGCCTGGGGGATTCCCCCTGCCCCTCAAATGTGTGTGACCCTCCTCCCCAGGCCCCGAGCCCGCCGTACTTGGCATCAGTGGTGAGGAAGGGCAGGAACTGGATGTTCTCCACACTTTTGGTCGCCAACATCTGGCGCAGGTCAGACCTGGGGACGGTGGAGGGCAGCGGCCTCCTGGGTGCCTGGTGGTTCTGGGGTTGGGGGGCTCCAGTGTGTGCAGCCAGCAGGCACTGCACCCCCCACTCTCCTCCCCCTGCACCCCCAAACAGGACTCAGCACCACCCCCAATCCCTCTGCACCAGCCATCCGTGGCCCACTGCACCCCAAACTGGGCCTGATGCCCTCTGAATTGCACTCCAAACTGGCCCTGGTGCCCTCCCCATTACACTCCCCATGGCCCCCACTGTACCCCCAAACTGGCCCCTATTACACCCCCCTACCACCCTCCTCACTGCACCCCAAACTGGCCCTGGTGCCCTCCCCATTGCACCCCACATCGCCCCCACTGCACCCTCAATCTGGCCCCTATTACACCCCCCTACCACCCTCCTCACTGCACCCCAAACTGGCCCTAACACCTTCCTTAATTTACCCCCAAGTGTCCCTTCATGGCCTCCACTGCAACGCCCAAAATGCCTCTGGTGCCCTCACTATTGCACCCCCAACCCTCCCACCAGGCCCCACACTGCACCCCAAAACCAGTCGTGGGGTCATCATCCCTCATGGGCCCCATTGTTCCCACTGCACCCCAAAACCAGCCCTGGGGTCCTGATCGTACCCTCATCCCCCATGAGCCCCAGTGCACCCACAAATCCCCCTCCCCAATACCCACACTGCAGCCCAAAACCAGCCCTGGGGTCCTGATATCCCATGAGTCCCAGTGCACCCACAAATCCCCCTCCCCATTGTCCCCACTGCACCCCAAAACCAGCCCTGGGGTCCTCATCCCCCATGAGCCCCAGTGCATCCACAAATCCTCCTCCTCATTGCCCCCACTGCCCCCCAAAACCAGCCCTGGGGTGGTCATCCCCCATGTGTCCTACTGCACCCACAAATCCCCCTCCCCATTGCCCCACTGCCCCCCAAAACCAGCGCTGGGGTTCTCCCCTCGCCCCCGGCCGTCACGGCACCCCCGAGCCGGCCCCGGTGCGCTCCGCATCGCCCCCGCCCCCGCCCGGGGCCGCCGCCGATCGCTCACAAGCCGGTGGCGAACATGGCGAGGGTGGCGGCCAGGCAGACACCGGCGAGCACCGACACGACCATGCCGGACACCGGGCGGCGGCGGCGGCGGCGCTGCCCGCGGCGGAGCGGGGCGGGGCGGGACGCACTACCGGGGAGGAGCGGCGGGGATCCGGCTCCGAGCGGGGGGAGCGGCACCGGGGCACCCGGGGAGGGCACCGGGAACGGTTTGGGGGTGCGGTGAGCAGGGGGGAGCACCCGCAAGGTGTCGTGGATTCAGCGCCCCACTTTCGGTTTGGGGGTCTCAGGGCATCCCCAGGGTGAAGCTCACGGTTTGCACGGCCCGGGGGTCACCCGCGCTGTGACCCCAGCTCCGCGCCTCCTGCGGGGGTCACATCCCCGTGACAGCAATTCCGCAGGATCCTGCATCCACCGGATCCGGGGATCCACATTTCCCCCGTGACCCCACTGTCCCTGGGTGTCCCCACACATCCCTGTGACAATTCCCCAGGATCCACATTTCCCCCGTGGCTCCACTGTCCCTGGGTGTCCCCACACATCCCTGTGACAGCAATTCCGCAGGATCCTGCATCCACAGGATCCGGGGATCCACATTTCCCCCGTGGCTCCACTGTCCCAGGGTGTCCCCACATCCCTGTGACAATTCCCCAGGATCCACATTTCCCCCATGACCCCACTGTCGCATGGTCCCCCCCACACATCCTGGGGGTCACACATCCCTGTGACAGCAATACCACATCCACAGGATCCTGGGATTTACATTTCCCCTGTGACCCCATGGTTCCCCCCCCACATCCTGAGGGTCACACATCCCTGTGACAATTCCCCAGGATCCTGGGATTTACATTTCCCCCGTGACCCCACGGTGTCAAGGTGTCCCCACATCCCTGTGACAATTCCCCAGGATCCACATTTCCCCCTTGACCCCACTGTCCCATGGTCCCCACACACATCCTGGGGGTCTCTCATCCCTGTGACCCCTCTCTGCGACCCTCCATCTCTAGGGTCCCCCTCCTTTGGGTATCATGCATCCCTATACCCCCAGATCTCGCCTCTCCAGGACCCTCGCTCCCTGCAATTCCCAGTTCCCTGTGATCCCAGCTCCCTGCACCCACAGCGTCTCACCCTCAGGGGGTCCCACATCCCTGGGGTCACCCCGTGGGGGTCCCCGGGGCGCAGCCAGGCTGTGTCCCCTGCCCAGCCCCCTCCTCAGCAGCAGTGATTTATCAGGCCCATCCCATGGGATCTGCCACATTCCAGTGGGGTTTGCCCCAGGAGCTCACAGCAGAGCAGGGGGAGGGGTCCCTACCCTCAGGGGAGGCCTTTGTGTCACCAGATAAAGCCGGGGACAGTGCCAGCCACGGTGGCACTTTGCCACTTAACAGCCCCGTGCAAACACCGGCCAATTAATTAATTAACCAGCCCAACCCCCCACAGGGGCCAGGAGAGCCTTGGCCCAGGAGGGTGGGGGAAGGTCTCAGGAGCTCAGCGTGGTTTTGGTTATTTATTCCCGACAATGGTATAAAAAAAAATCCTGTGTCAAAAACTGTACAAAGGGGGTGCTGGGGGGCCCCTCCGGCACCCAGCGGAGGGGAGGGATGGGGAAGGGCCAGGGGATGAGGGACGGGGTAGGGGTGCAGCACAGTGAGGAGGGGGATGTTTGGTACAACCCCGCTCCCCTGGCTGCGGGGCATCTCCAGCCCGCCTGTGCTCCCTGGCTACTGACATTGGGGGGTAGTTGGCCCCCTGCACCAGCCTCACCTGGCCACCCCCACGTCCCCGCCTGCAGGACACGCTCCAGCTCCAGCCCACCAAGCCCCGAGGGTGGTGGGCGAGCTCGGCCGCGGGGCAGGGGTGCCAGCCCCCTGCCCCTCTCCAGTCTGGGGCACCTCAGCCCCTCCAGCTCCAGGCTCCCGCTCGGTCTCTGGCTGCCAGGACCATCCTGGAAGGGCCAGGAAAGCCTGAAGGCTCCAGCTGCTCCCATGGCTTTTTGGGTCTTCCAGCCCCATAATACTGACACAAATCCTTTCCTTGCCCAGATGTGCACCGGGCAGGGCACCCGGGGCAGATGTGTGGGGACCACGGGGGTCTCCAGTGGCCACAGCCTCGGTGGGTCCGGGCACCAGGGGCAGCTCAGAGCCCCTGTGGCACCAGCAGGGGCAGGAGGAGGCTGATAAAGGTGAAGGGGCGGCTGCTGCTGCGCATGGCCGAGTTCTGCCCCACGCTCCTCAGCACGTGTGCGGCCGCGTCGTCTGCAGGGGGGAAAAGAGAGGAGCCATCAGCAACCCCCGAAGGCAAGCTGTACCCCAAACCAGCAGCACAACAGCCCTGCAGAGCAGTGCCACCAGCCTTGGTACCTCAGCCAGCTCCAGAGCCCCCCAGGAGGGGCAGATGAGCCCCAATGCCCCCAGCAAACCCCTGGGTGGCTGTGTTCAGGCCAGTGCCCCCCACCTGCCTCCTGGCACCCCCAAGAACACCCTGCCTCCCCAGAAGGGAAGCTGGCTCAGCCCCAACCCACCTGCCTGGATCCTCCCCTTCTGCGTCGAGGCCGGGGCAGGCGGTGCCGGAGCTGCGGAGCAAACAGGGGGGTCACGCCAGGGAAGGCAGCACCCCAAAATCCCAAAAATCCCGTTTTGCTGTGGGTTGTCCCCCTTTCCCCCACCCCCACCAACACCTTCCTGGCCAAGCCGTGCGTGCCCACACCCCGGGCTGGCCAGGGGCCACGGCCAGGCCGTGACTCAGCGCGGCCAAGGCCACGCTGGGCACCAGCGCCGCGAGCGGGACGCGGGGGGCCCCGGGGGGGTGCTGATACTCACTGCCTTTGCCTGCCACCGTCACCTTCAGCTTCAGGCAGGCTTCCCCGTGGTGGTGGATGGGCTTGGCTGCGGAGGGAGAGGCAAGGTTAGGAAGGGATGGGGGGAGCCCGCTGGCGAGTCCCTGCAGCACCTCTCAGCCCCCCCAGCGCTCACAGATGTAGTAGTAGCTGTGTCCCTCCCTGAACTCTTTGCCGAGCGTGAAGGGAGTGAAGCGCTGGAACTTCTCCGAGAACTTCTCGGGGCCGTGCAGGGCACTGGGCTTGTCGCATTCCCAGCGGATCTGCTCCTTGGAGCGGGGCTTGCAGGCCTGGTACTCCTCCAGCTCCACCAGGTACAGCGTGTAGCGCTCCATGGCCCGGGGGTCCACGCTGCCCTCCTCGTAGTGGGGGCAGATGATGTCCAGGTAGTCATTGAGACGAACCTCCACCGTGTAGTCACTCCACAGAAACCTGCCGCAGGAGGGCCGGCAGGAGGGTCAGGTTTGGGTTAAGGGCCTAATTTACACCCCCAAATCCCCTTTATGCCACGGCAGTGCTAGGCAGGGGCACCCTTGGGTCCACCCTTCCCTGTGCCGAGCCTCGCAGCACCTGGAACAGCTTGGAAAGGGCAACGCCACCTTCACTCTCCCTCCGGCTCGGCCCCCCGGCAGTGAGTGGCGAGCGCACCCCGCTTGCCAAGAGCCGGGGAGCAGGGAGGGACCCGCTGGGACGCGCACCCTGCCCGCGCCCTGCCCGGCGCGGCGCTCGCCGTGGGGCAGCCAGCCCGGCTCCAGCTGCGCCCCACACCCCAGCCGGGGGGGGGACACGCCGGGGGCCCCCACGGAGTCCCCACCTCGCCGGCTGGGGTGGCCTCCAGAGGGCAAAGCCACTTAGGACACCCCAAAAACTCCCGGGAGGACACAGCGCTATAATACGGGGCTGTGGGGGGGAAACCCCAAAACGGGGGGAGGCAGTGACGGACGGGAAAGAGGGGAGGCCCCGTATCTCCCCACGGTGCCTGAGTGTGGGGCAGCGCCACAACCTGGGGGGCTGGAGAGTGGGGTGGGGTGTCTCCCCGAAATCCCAGAGCCTGAGAGAGCTCATGCTCCGGGGGAGCACCTCAACAAGCAAGGGGAGTCAGGGCAGCGGGCAGGGGGGACCCCTAGAGCCTG